ATCAGAGCTCTTTTTTGTCATCATAGTTTGCCTCTTCCGAATGTCACAAAGCAAAGTCGTACAGCGTAGGGCACTTAAAACTGGCTTCTGTGACTTAATAATATATGTTTACCTATCTTCTCTATCTTTTGGTGCTTTGATCACTCATTTGTTTTTATTCCCAAAACTTTGTTGTTTGGAATGTAAACAGTTTGCCTATTCATCTGTCAAAGGGCTGAATTTTTTGCAGTCTGCTTAGTGTACTACCACAACACAAGGAGGGGAGAAGCAGGGCACCAACAGGCCTGCACCACTCTTTCAGGTCATGGTTGTTCTCTTGCTACGTGTGTAGAAAATCTCACTGGTGCTGTTCATGCTGGTGCTTGTTTGTAGTTCCAGTACCCAGGAGGCTGAAGAGGAAGATCCCAAGTTCAAGGCCGGCCTGGGCAATTTAGCTAGACCCTGTCTCAAAATTTTAAAAAATTAAAATTAAAAAAACATAAAAGCCAGGGATATAGATCAGTGTAGAGTGCCCTGGGTTCAATCCCTAGTACTGCAAAGAAAAAAAGAAACTCTTAGTAGAAAGCATAATATTTGCTTTCAACTGTTACACATATTTAAAGAACTTAAGAAGAAAATAAGCCAGGCACGTTGGTAGACATCTGGTAAGCCTAGTTTCTCCTGAGCCTCAGGCAGGAGTTTGTAAATTTGAGGCCAGTTTGGGCAATTCATGAGCTCTTGTTGCAAACAAACAAGTAGCTAGGTAGCTGGAATGCTTGCCTAGCTGCCTAGCATAAGAGAGGCCCTGGCTTCCACTTAAAAAAATAATGAAAACAGTTTATTACATTTACTATTTGAATTGTTCCTTTTTTATTCCTTAAGTTCTAGGTTCCCCCTTTCCATCTGGTATAATTTTTCTTTTTGAAGAATTTCCCTTCCCTTTTCTTTTACAGTAAGTCTGTTTGTGACCAAACCCCACCCCCCTTTTCTTTTCCACCTGAAAATGTCTTGTCCTTGCTTTCATTTCTGAATGGTCTTCTGGGGATAATATCCTTTGTCTCTAGAATCCTATGTCTCTTTCTCTGTCTGTCTCTTTCTTTTTCCTCCCAGTACTGGGAATTGAATCCAGGCACACTTTACCACTGATATACATCCCCAACTGTTTTGTTTTGTTTAATTTTGAGACACAGTCTGGCTAAATTGCCCATGCTGGCCTTGAACTTGTGATCCTCCTCCTTCATCTTCCCAAGCAGCTGGGATTATAGGTGTAGGCCACTGTGCCTTTTTTTCCCGCCTTTGTAGTGCTTGGGATTGAACAGTCATTTTTTTCAGCTCATTAAAAGTATTGTTTTCCTGCCTTCTGTGGTTTCTAGTGAGAAACCTACACTTGCTTTTCTTCCTCTTTCCTTCCTTCCTTCCTCTCTCTCTCTCTATTTCCCTATTTCTTCCCCCACCCCTTCCTTCCTTTCTTTCTTCCTTTCTTTCATTTCTTTTCTTTCTTTCTTTCTACTGGGGATTGAGCCCAGGGCTCTGCACATGCTAGGCAAGCACTCTACCACTGACCTACATCCCCATGCCTTTTAAAATTTTACTTTGAATCTGTCATTTAAAGGTACAAGATCCCAATGATAAATGTAACTGTACTGTATATTTTAAAAGTACCAATAAACTCAATGAAAAAAATAAAATTGTATTTTGAGGAAAGCTCTTCCTGAGTTGCTGGGGCTAACCTTGAATTTGTGATCCTCTTGCCTCAGTCGTCTGGATAGCTGGTATTACAGGCCTACTTTCCCAGGCTAATGCTTAGTTTTTTTTTGTTTTAAACCTGTTTTGAGATTCTTTAGTGTGTCTTTGGTTTTCCACTATATTATGATGTAGGCATGCCTACTGTAGATTTGATAAGCTTTTTTGATTTTTGGTTTGTTGAGATGGTCTTGCTACGCAGTTCAGGTTGTCCTTGAACTCACAGCAGTCTTCCTGCCTTAGCCTCCCCAGTGCTGGATTATAGGCGTGTGCAACCATGCCTGGCCCTTGATAAGTTTCCTGAATGTGAAATGTTTTTGTCATTAACTATATTTGAGAAGTGTTCAGCAATTATTTCTTCACATATTTTTCCCATCTGTCCTGTGGGACTCTAGTGATATACATGTTCAACCATGCAGTCTTGCTGCTCCTGAACTGAAGCTCTGTGCAGTTGCTTTCCAATCTCTGCTGCTCAAATTGCATAATTCCTGTTTTTCTGTCTCTGCCCCTGTTTGTCTTTCTCACTCTTTCTGCCTGTCTCTTTCTCTTTGATGATATATTGTTGTGCTGCTGGAGCTTCCCTCAAATTCAAACTTTTGCCTTGGCCTCTTGAATAGCTAGAATTACAGGCATGCACCACCACGCCTGGTCATCACTGTTTCCTGGCTCCTTTCTGTCATCTCATCTCCATGCTATATGGAGCCAATCAGTAATCTTTAATTTGAATATTATGATATGTATATAATTTTTATTAGTATTTTTTGTAGTGCTGATGTTTGTACTTTATGCCTTTTACGTGCTAGGCAGGCATTGTATGTGAGCTATAATCCCTAGCCTTTGTGGTTGTAATTTTTGATTTTCAGATTTTCATTTGATGATAGCTTTTGGTTCTGTGCTACAGCCTTTCTATTTGCTTGGGCATGCTTGGCTTACCTTTGGGAGTGATGTAATAGTTGTCTGCCTACAAGTCTCTATTCACTCCTGCAGTCACCTCGAAGTAAACTTTTCTTAACATTTTTTTCCCCCTTGACAGTTAATAAGATTTTTCCTACTCTTTGTATATCAAGTAATTCTGGATTATATTCTGGATACTTTGGTTATACTGTGAGGTTTGGGCCATGTTTCAGTCTCACAAAAAGTGCAGCAGGAACATAATGTGGTACTTTAGGCTGTGTGTGTTTTTTTTGTTTGTTTGTTTGGGTTTTTTTGAGACAGGGTCTCACTATATAGTTGAGACTGACCTGGAACTCACTATGTTTCCCCCAGGCTGGTCTGGAACTCACAGTGATCCTCCAGCCTCAGCCTCCCGAGTGCTGGAATTACAGGCATGTGCCACCACGCCCAGCTCTTAGGCTTTGTGTTTTGAATCCCCTCTTTGGCTGTGATCAGGTCAGTTTTCAGAACTGCTTCAGTTTTCCTGATTCTGCCAGTTTGGCACTATCTGGGGCCTGGTCTGCTGCTGAACAGTGGCCTACCCATAGATGAGTTCTCAAAGCTTTGGTTTGCCATATAGAGCTATGTTCACATGTGGACTGTCTTGGGATATTGTAGTCATTCCCATGCAGCTGTGTGCACTCAGCTTGCACACCCACCACATCCATAGGGGACCCATACTGACTCCAGGGCCCTTTTCTTGTTCTTTAGTTAGAAGCTTGGTGCAGTTGTGTGTTCTGTGACATTGCTTAACTAAATCTGGTCCAGGCCTGGTGAAGAAGATGGAGAATGAGACAGCATGGCCCCCACGATGTTGGGATTCCATCCTCTAGTCAGGAGGGAGGTTCCCCTCTGAGTTTTGGTGCTTGCCAGGCCACTACTACCATTACAGTGTTCAAGCAGGGGATTCACAGATTCACTGATGAATATAGTGTCCCCATGATCTAATCATCTTATAGGAGCCTTCCACACACAAGATTTTTAGGGAACATTTTAGATCTAAGCTATAGCATTCTGCCCCTTTCCCCTACCAAAGGCTTATGTCTCATATTATGTAAAATGCATTTAGTCCATCTCTTAAGAATTGCCAAAGTGTTAATAATTACAGCATTGCTGAAAAATACAAGTCCGAAATTGTTGGGGCATGAGAGGACGGGCGGCCTAAGTGCTGACCCTGAGCCCCAAAATGCTGGTTCTCACCAGGGCATAGGAAGCCCAAAGGCAACGTGCTGGCGCCAAATCCCTTGACCTACAAACAACGCCCTGAACTCTGTGTTTGCTCTTGTTCCCATTTTACACTCCCTTCTAGTCATAAACAGATGTTGTCTTATTGATGTTATATTCTTAGCTTAAACAATGTATATCTGCTTGTCACTTTTTGTGACTGATTGTTTATCTTACCCATGCCTCCTTGTGATTGAGATTTATTGCCAATTGCTGAGATCATGCCTGTGGTGTGGCCTTGAAACTAGTATATAACACCCGGTGTTAAAAATAAACTTTTCCATTAGCCATCAGCTTTTGGTCATTCGTTGTGTCTGCAGTCGTCTCTCCGAGTCCCCTCCTCTACAAGGAGACCTCAACACAAAGTCTCTTCTGAGACTCAAGGCAAATTTTCAGCTCTGAGCCCCTATAAAATAAAAAAGAAAGTAAGAACTTCAAATATACAGTGGCATAGAGTAAATATTCTCATTCTGGAAGGGGAGGAGAGGAACAGAAAGAAATCAGACCAAATCAAGACAGAAACCTAGCAATACAAATTCTGAATCCTATAGCTCCACGTCCAGCATTTGGAAAAGTTGTGGTAAGATAGGAATTCCAAAGGGATTAGGTAGACTTACCCTTTTGACATTGCTGGTTGTAGTTCATACAACTTCTCATTTGGACTGGCTTCACTCACTATCTGTAGCTTTTCTCAGCAGATGATTCATGTTCCTGGCATCTCCAACTTCCTTCTGCACCTTGGCTTCAAATATTACCCTCTCAAGGACATCTGGCAGGGACTGTGATCCTGTCACACATTTTTGCCTTCTTGTAAAATCTGGGCGGAAGCCTCTGTGATCAAACAATTCTTGCATTCTGTATACCTAAAAAATCAGTACCACATGGACGATGCCAAGGTCTACCACCAGCTTGTGCAGTAGCCAGACCCCCTTGAATCACAGCTGCAGCAGCCTCTGAGTGCCTGGCTAGCTGAGCAAGATGAAATGAATCTCCAGAGAACCAGTTCCCTAGGTGGTTCTTCTTGAAGAGGATACCTTGGGACTATCTATTAAACCAAAATCTTTCAAATGAGTTTACTTTATACCCTTGAGCCTGCAAAGTATAGGGTCTGGCCAATTCCTGAGATGTCCTCAGACCATCTTTCCTATTGTCCAGAGGCAAAGTACTTGGCTTTTTTCAATGCTAATCTTTTCAGTAATGGCACTCTCCATGACCCCAACTTTTCAGGAACTTCCTTTCTGGTGAACTGCAAACTCTTCAATTATTTGGTTCTACTTTTTGGTTCTGATTCTCACTGTAAATCTGGTTGAAAGCAGCTAGCAATACCCATGGCACAGCCTGAATGTTGGGCTGCCTTAAAATTTCCTCTACCAGATCAATTAGTGCATGTTATGGTTTGTATCTAGATATCCTCCCAAAGCCTCACGCACTCATAGGAGGGAAGTTTTAAAGGTGGCTGAATGAAGGTGTGTGAATGAGGATTAAGGGTGTGATACTGGGATGAAGAATGTGGATAATAGAAGCCCCACTCTGGGTATGAGTGGTACTAATCAAAGGCAAATGTAGACAAGTTTTTTGTTTGAATGAAACACACATGGTCTCTAGTCCAGTTTCCAGTACATTCTTCATGCTCATCTGAAACCTCATGGGCCTGGCCTTAACTAGCAATATTCTAGCCTTCTTCACTTCAACTAGAATCACCACCAAGCACTGCTTACTGTACTCACAGCATTCTAAGGCTTCTTCAAGCAGCATTGCCAAACCTTCGTAGACGTCTACAAATGAGTTCCAAAGGCTTTTGAACCACATGGTTAGATAGAGTCACAGCAACAACCCCACTCCTGGTACTGATTTTTGTATTGGTGACTTTCCCATCACTGTAATGAAATGCCAAATACCCACAATTTAAAAAAGGGCAGGTTTACTTTGGGTCATAGTTTCAGTGGCCTCAGTCCATGGTAAGCAGACTCTGAGGCAGAAATGGCATGGGAAAAGAGCTCGGTAAAATAAAGCTGTTCACTGCATGGAGACCAGAAAGCAGAACGAGAAGAGGATCTGGAACAAGAATATGCCCTTCTAGGTTATACCCCCAGAGTCTAGCCTTCTCTGACGAGGCTGCAACTCCAAATAGCAAAGTCAAGTATCTGTGAACTCATTGATAGACTAATTCACTAATAAATGTAGCACACCCATTATCTCATCAGTTTCCAAAAGCCCCACCTCTGAACAAAGACTTTTGGGAAAACTTGTCTATCTAAACCATAACAGCTTACATCACCCAGACACCACTACAAATGAGGAAATTGGTGAACCTTTCTTCCTGTCTTCTCTAAGTTTCTCTTCTCTTTTCTTAGACCACAGAGCCTTCTTGAGTTCTTTCTGTTTGTATCCATGTTTAATCTTGAGCTTTCATTCTGCCTTTGAGTTTAGCCAGGATATCTAGTGGGAAAAGTAGCCACTAGAAAACTTATCTTCAAAGAAGTCCTACCTGCCATTCTGGTCTCCTGCCCCATTCTTCCTGCTGCCTCAGAACTGTCAAGCTCTCATGGAGTGAGCTGTGCTGTGCCTTCTTGGGGAGTAGTTGGCTCATTTAGAGGGAAACATGGTGGTCTTGCTACCTAAAGCCACTCTGAGACCCAGAGCCTCAGGGTGCACCTTCTTGTCAGAGTAGTAGACAGGAACTTGGATGAGGATTTTTGATGATATTGAAAGAGCCATTTGCTATGTTGTAACCTTTATGTTGCTTTGTTTTTTCCAGAACTTGGGACCCTGGAGGAGTGATACTCCTAGCCACTGGTGCCCTCTTCTGTGGAGCCATGGCAACCCCGGATGTGAGTGTCCATATGGAGGAAGTGGTGGTTGTGACAACTCCAGACACTGCAGTTGATGGCAGTGGTGTGGAGGAGGTGAAGACAGTGCTGGTGACAACAAATCTGGCTTCTCATGGGTAAGGACTGAGACTTGGTTCTGCCAAGAACCATGCTGGGGTCAGGTTGAATTATCTGTGCCACAGCTGATTGCCATGTTTAGGTGTAAGTATCAGAATTTCCTCATGTATGATTATTCTCAGGCTGGACTTGGCATCTCTTAAGTACAGGATGAAGAGCAAACTGCATCAAATGAGAAGATCAGCTTTAAACTCTGGGTGATGCCTCTGCTTCTGCTGCAGCACGGCTGTGTGATTTCCAAAACCATGATTATTTCTCTTTCAATAAATAGAATAGTGTGGAAGATTGGGGACTTCTTTTAAGGAATGAAATTGAAGAGCCAGTGACTTTCTTGACATTTCTTGTGAAAATGAATTTTGTCTTCATTTTCCCCCCTTTTTTATTTTGAGACAGTCTTGCTAAGTTGCCTAGTTTAGGCTCCAACTTCTGATCTTCCTGCCCTAGCCTCCCAAAGTGCTGGGATTACAGGCATGTGCTACCATACTGACTTCCTCTCTTCTACTAGACATTGGAATTGAGTATAATTTGGCCAAAAACCTTAAATCTGACCAAACTGCTGCCTGATTTTTACCATCTTTGTAGGCAGAATTATCAGGAGGGGGCAAAGTAGCTTCTGCCCTTGGCAAGAGGTAGGATGAGGGGAAGCAAGAAGCCCTGAACAGAGGGGCTACATGAATCCTTGCTCTTTCTCCCGAGAAGGACTTGAGTCACTGGACTTGACACTACCTCAGCTTATCATAGAATAGTGGTCACTTGTGACTCTTCACTGTATGACAGAGAACTTTTAATTTTTTTCCAGTATTGAAGTTGAATCCAGGACATCAAGCATTCTTGACAAGCACTGTAGTACTGGGCTGTATCCTCACCCCTTTAACATTTATTTCCTTCAACACAACCTTCATTAAAGCCCCAGCCCTGACAGGTGCTGTGACAGGGTTGGCCTGCGCCACAGGCCATCTGCACCCGAGGGTGGCAGGTGCTCCTGGCCACTCACTCGAATAGCTGTCCCCCCTTCCCGGGGACACCTGTGTATGTTTAGACCTTTTCTGATTGTGTCAGTGGCTAAAGCATGGCAATTGGGCGCCAGTAAACATGAGAACGCCAGGCCGCATGTGGTCACTCCAGGATGTTGATCACCAGGATCTCTCCGGATTTTCTAGGTTGACTTCAAACTTAAAATCCTCCTGCCTTAGCCTCCTGAGTAGCTGGTATTATAGAATGTACCACTGCTTCTGGCTGATAGGACTTTTTAGAGGAAGGTGCTAGACTGTAAGATTCTATGATCTTATTTGCTTCGTAGACACAGCACAAGACTCTGTTGATGGGAACAGGCTTCTGAGTCAGAGCTTCCAATGGGATTTGATCTTTGTCTCCTGGCATCTAGCTTAGATGTTTTCTGTGCATGTGTTGTGGGCACACCATTTTCTGACATCTCCTGTCCACATACTCTGCTGTTACCTCCCTATACTCCCACCCAGAAGCAGTGCCCAAGTCTTGCTCAGATTTGGGGTGACCTATGAACAATGTGGCAAAATGACACCAGGTTAGAAAAGCCATGTGGCTTCTTCTCGGTACCCTGGGGTCACTGCCATGCCTTCTAGCTTTAGTGTCACCCCTCAGGGGAGGGCCAGCTCCATGTCGGAGTCTTCCTAGCTGAAGCCACAGCACTATGGCCTGCTGCTGCAGGGTGATGTGATTCAGCCCCACACCAAGGACCTTCAGCATTGTCCTTTCTAGGAATCTTGTTGAACTCATATCTTCTCATACAGCTGCAGACTCAGATGGGTAGGTGTCTTGCCACCTGGTAATTGTGTCACATGGCCACTCAAAGGCTAAGGATGGACAACACTGTCTCTAGATAAGGACGGTTGCAAGATGCTGTAGCCTTTCTGCAGTCTAGCACAATCACTTTTCTTCTCTTCTCTTTTCCTTCCTTTCTTGTTTCTTTTCTTTCCCTATTTTTTTTTTCCTTTCAGTATTGGGGATTGAATCCAGGGCCTTTGCACTGAGCTACCTCCCCAGCACTACTTATTTTTTTATTTTTTATTTTAAGGCAAGGTTTCTCTGATTATCCCAGAGTGGACTCACACTTGCGATCCTCCTGCCTCAGTCTCTCAAGTGCTGGAATTACAGGCATGCACCACTGCACCCAGCTTGGCACTGTCACTTCTGTCCCCCAGCACTGCCCAGGACCCCACAGTGGCTCTATCTCCCAGTCTTGGCTTTGCAGGCCATCTCAGGTTTGGGTGCAGGTGAAGCAACTCTAGATCCAGAGACCTGTGCAGTAAAAGCTACATTCCTTCTACCTCCTCATGACAGGTGGATGGTCCTGCTCAAAGCCATGTGGCAGAGTCTGTGAAAATGGGCCTCTCTGTCTTCATGGCAGAACTCACCGAGGTTGAACGAAGGCCTTCACAGCTGTGCATGAGTTTGATGTGTTCTGATGCCATTTTTCACTCTAACGGTTGTTGTCAACAAAAGCTGCAGGTGTGAGACCCTTCCACCCCTGGAAGTGCTGAAAGAATGATCATCTGACTTCACAGAAGCCCACGGCACTTTGTACGTTCTGGCTGACATGCTCCTTGAGAGACACACATGTTCTTCAGTGTGTTCTCCACCGTCTAGATTGCTGAGGCATAGGATTGCTCCTCTGCCACACATAACACGGCAGCAACACCTGTTTCCTGTCCTTTTCCTGCTTTGCTGCTTGTGAGATCATAGCATCTCCACTGGAATAATCCCTGTGCTAGTCTTTTTTGTTGTTGTTTTGGTTTTTTGAGACAGGGTCTCACTATGTAGTTCAGATTGGCCTTGAACTCACTTTGTATCCTTGGCTGACCTCAAACTCTTGGTGATCCTCCCGCCTTAGCCCCCTGAGTGCTGGGATTACAGGTGTGTACCACCATGCCTGGCCTGTTAGTCATTTTTGCTGCATAATAAACCACTGCAAAACTTAGTGCCTTAAAGCTACTAAGTACTCATCATTTCTGCTGTTGGTGGATTGGCTTCAGCCTGGCTGATTGTCTGTGTGGCCCCACTCCATACATGGCTTTGCGTGGCTCTCATTCACCACAATAGCAGACTGTGCTGTCCTTGTGGTAGAAGCTTCCAGCAGCGAGAGTGGGCATTGCAAGGCCCCATCTTTCCAGTTGGTCAGAGCTGTTCACAAGCTGTAAATAGCTGGAAGGCTGAGGCAGGAGGACCACAAGTTTGAGCTTGGGTGAGCAACTTAGTGAGACCCTATCTCAAAATAATTTTTTTTTTATACTGGGGATTGAACTCATGACCTTGTGCTTGTGAGGCAGGAGCAGTGCTACTGAGCTACATTCCTGGCTCTCAAAATAAAAATTTTTAAAAGGGCTGAGCATATAGCTCAGAAGGCCCTGGATTAATTTCCCAGTACAGAGATCAGCCTGAGTCAGGTGGGCTTAAGAGTAGGGAACACCCCTCTTGCTGGGAGGGGCCGTGAAGGATGGGGCATTTTTCAGCCTGCAGTGTGGGTCCAGTGCCAGGGAGCTGGAATGCCATCCCCTCTGGCTGGACCTTTCTGCAAGAGAGAATGGGCCACATGTGCCTCCTTGGGAGAAGGAATCCACTCTGGCTCCAAGACAGATTTGTCTTAAAGGATTTGTCTTAAAGGTTGTCTTTCTGTCTGGGGAGTTTTTTTTTGTTGTTGTTGTATTTTGTGTGTGGTTTGTTTTTTTATTTGTTTGTATGTTGTTGTTTTTTTTTTTTACTAGGATACAGTTTATTTAAACACACTAAAATCACACATAACTGAAAACAGATTTCTCTGGAAAAACATGAATTGGATACATGCAGAATTAGTTTACATATTTTGGCAAAATAAAAAATAATTTAGGTATACCACATCTAATAAAGCTTTCTATGAACACAGTATACATTAAATAATCTTGATTAATGACCAGACCTTTGCAAAAATAAAGCATAATTCTGTAAAACAGAATTAACACATAAGTTAAGAGTATTGTGAATTTATTTAACTGTACAAAAGAATCACAGTAGTCTTTCATTTTTTTATACTTTTATGTTTTGTTTTTACTGGGGATTGAGCCCAGGGCCTTGCACATGCCAGGCAAATGCTCACTACTGTGGCGGTACAGCCATCACAACACGAACATGCCTGAGTTGGGGAGTGAGGATTGAGAAAGGAAAGAACACTCAAGCCTGAGTGGAGACCAAGAGAAGTCTGATTTATTTCACAGAAACAGCTCCTTTTATAGGTTCACATCAACAGGAAGCACCATGCAACTATTTGTATCTTTTATGCAAAGACCGGATTTTCTGACTCTTTACAAAGAACATCAGATCTATGGCTGTCTCTTTGAGTTTCTCCCATTGCAGCAACAAGTTTAACAAGCAGAGTCCTAGAATGTTACACAGATTGTATCAATGCCTTGAGTGTAGAGGTGAAGAAGTTTCCTTTTAAATGTCAAATTCCTAGAGGGCCATGGCTGGGCTCCCACATATCCCCCTTTTTCTTATATTTAGAGCAGGAACTTTCCCAGCTCAGCAAAAAGACTGCGCCTGTCTTAGGTGAGAAATGTCCAGAGAAATCTCTTTCCCGTCATCAAGCCATGAGAATTTTGATATTCATGCTCTGTTTTAGGTTGGATATTTCTCTACACTTCTCTTACCCGTCTTTGACTACCAGCCTCTGCAGGGGTTAGACTGTAGGTATGGGAGGCTTAATGTGCAATTGTAAGCCATGAATCTTTCCTGCTGTGTTCATCAAAGATGAACTCACCATGCATACTAATATGGGTAATATAACACATCGTAGACATACTCTTATCTCAATCGCAATAACAGGACCTAAAAATTGGGTGACTGATGCCATGGAGGATAAGACCTCTTTTAGCTGATTGATAAAACACTGAGCAGCTTGTGCCACATCAAACTTTAAGGAAGGGGCACTCTGTAGATCCAAAATATCTTGATGTAACTATTAAGTCTAGGGAGGTATTTTGATTTTACC